AGTCTACAGCTGAACTTATTTTCAAAAAATAAGCACCTTGTAGCCTCCATGGACAAAAACAAAGCACAAAGAGAACACTTACCTATAGCAAAAGGAAAGACGAGAGTCCTGTTTACATTAAATTATGTGTATACACTGGGAGGGAAATTTCAGGGGTGAGGGACGGAGAGGAGTATTTGCAGGGCGAAAGGGGTGTTTGGATAAAATTGCCCATTGAACTTGCAAATCTTATTGAAACTGCAGTTACGGTTAGTAACTTTTTGATGTATGGTATCTAATGGTAACTATTGACAATGTTTGGGGTAGGACTAGTACCTTACTACTGCTGTTTTAAAAAATGGAATAGTACCTTAACTTGTCCAACGACCTGCTTATTTTGGGATCACTAGGTCAGACATGACATCATGTTATTGTATGCGTGGTGAGCCTGACAGTTGTGAGAATATTGTATCGAAGAAACTCGTGGATCATTTGCAATTAGCTACCAAACTCTCTACCAGATTGGGTGGATTAAGAAAGGACCCTCTATTAAGGTAACCGAGATATGTCATATTCTATTTCCATTGAAGAGTTGTACTCTGATGATGTCCTCTGTGATGTAGTAGATATGGATGTCTGTCACATTTTACTTAGAAGACCTTGGCAGCTTGACATAGATGCAACTCTTTAGCGTAGGAAGAATGTTTACATTTTCTGGTGGAATGAGAAGAAAATTGCAATACTTCCTAAAGAAATTATGAATGATCCACCCAAAACTTTTAAGGTGGAGGGGAAGTTGTTCCTTTCTTTGACTAGTTCTGAGGTTGAGTTTGTAATGGTCTGTTTGGTAGAGTAGATAGAAAAATGAAAGGATGGAAAACAAAACTAATATACTTTTTATCATTCAGGGATAAAAAATAAGAAGGATATTTTTTTTGTGTTTGATAAGATGAAAAAAATATATATTTTTTAAAATTTTAAATTTTAATTTCAACACACATAATTAACTTTATATCCACCTGTCCTCTCAATTTTAGAGGGATTGATTTTGGTGAGTTGGAAGGAAAACTAATTCATCCAATTTTTCATCCTTCTTATTTTTCTTCCTTACTAAACATAATATTTTATCTATTCCTCTAACTTTTCATTCTTCCAACATTCCATTTTTTTTTCCATCGTACCAAACGAGCATAAATGATGCAAAAGAAGCAAGATATACATATACATTAGTTGTAAATGAAGAGGAAGCACCTACTGTGCAGATTCCTGTTGCAAAACAACCTTTTACAAAGAGATCACCCCAGATGAACTACCTTACCACCCATGCTACCCCATAAAAACTACCTAAAGATGGAGTTTGATGCTAACCTAATTTTTCACTACTTTTAGGTAACCTTGATAGGACATCAAATAAACGATTATGAACTAAAAAATTTAGACCAATCTGTAGAAATGGCTAAATTTAAAAAACAGAATGAACAAAAATTACAAAGATTAGATATTGAAATAATGCTTACTTTACACAAATCTTCATATAATTTTGTTGGTAGAATGCAAAACTAAGGATTCAACATAATGTTATATAATCTTAAAAATTTATAATATCTTACTATATCATACAAGAACAAGGATCGTGAGCACACCTATTTCCATTGAAGATAATGATTAACTGGTAGAGATTTAACTCGGCTAAGCAATCCAATCAACTCGTTCACCACAACATCCAAAACCACATCTAGCGTTTAAGTATCTTGATAGGACATCAAATAAAAGATAATGAACTTCAATTTTTTGACCAGTCCAAAGAAAATTAATAACACTAGAAGTGGTTAAATTCAAGAAATAGAATGAACACAAATTACAGATATTAGATATTGAAATAATACCTGATTTACACCAATCTTCATATAATTTTGCTGGTAGAATGAAAAACTAAAGATTAAAAATAAATGTCATATACTCTTAAAAAAATCATAATATCTTACTTTATCATATAGGAACAAGGATCGTGAGCACACCTCTCTCAATCTCTGCTAAGCAATCCAACCAACTCGTTCACGGCAACAACTGTATGTTGGTGGAGTCAGCTTTTGAATGCTTAACATCCAAAAACCAAATCCCAATGAAATTGAAAAGGATCAAAGAAAATTTTCCATAATATGGAAAACGATAACTGAACTTTGTTGACCAGTTTCCTGTACAGGTGTAACAGAGTTGATGCTCTAGATCTCAGGTGACACCCAAGGCTGCACCCCAACAGGAAAGAGCACTTTTGTCTAAGTTATAGGCTGGTACTGAGTTTTGGTATCTGTATTCACTTGTAGTTGTCCACTAGATGACAGGGATAACTGAACAGATGAATTTAGTAAATTTAAGGGTCGAAGACATTGTCAGATGGTTAAAGCAGTCAACCAACAATGTGCTTAAAAATATTACATTACATGATGAATAGAGAGCCATTCTTGGGCTATCTAAACCAGGCATATAATTATTTGGAAACTGAGAATTTTGTGGAGGCTGTGGATAGGTATTTGGAATTCGAGCATTTTGTTGAGGTGTTGTTGTTGTGGTTGTGGATAGTAATTTCGAATCTGAGCATTTTGACGAAGTTCTGATGGAACAGGCATAACAGGCCTGTTTGCCTGAACTTCTGCCACTGGAATTCGATGTGGCGCCTGTGGCGGTGGCAGAACATGTCATGCCTGACTGGGCCATGGAGGTTGCTGCAGCACCAGTTGAGAAAATTGGAGTTGTTAAGTGTGAAAAGGCATTCCAACTTTTGCCCACCAAGCCGTCTGAAATTGTTGAGAAACCATTGGAATATATGGCGGTGCCTGCTGTGCTCGAACAGCAGGTGTTCCAGCAGGAAGGAACTGCAACAACATTTAGTTTTAAAAACAATAATGGGTTCCAATTAACATAAGATAATGCATGCAGGTCTCAAACAATTTAGGAAGAACAAAAATTCACACTTAGAGCATCAGTTCATAAAAGGATTATGCACGTTTTGTTTTAGTTAGAGCTCAGTTGAACATAAGATAATGCTTCAGTTCATAAAAGGATTATGCACGTATTGTTTAAGTTAGAGCTCACTTGAACTCTCAGAGTCCATTGAACTGAAGCTGTAATAGGACTTTGAAATATCAAAAGGCTGAGGACAACTCAAGAGATACTTCAGGCATGAGAACAAAGATACATATACAAACTATTGGGACATGTAGAAAGACACACCGTAACCTGACAGAAAAGTTCTCGATAAGTCATTCCCGAATTAATTTAACTTATTAGTCATGTTTATGTTTTAGAGACATAGAAATAACCCAAATTTCAGACTTGACAACTTTAGTTACCCTGTAACGTGCAGCAAGGTCATCAAAATCTACCCCCAAAGCACCAACCCCACCAGTTAAATCAGGAATAGATAGATAAATGATGATGACGATGATGAGGAGCTGGAGAAAAGGAAACCCTCCAAATTTTAGTTTTAGCCCGAAGCAAGGTGAAAAAGAAATGTGTACTAGACATAAGGTGTTAGTTTAATTGAGAATACACTTTAAAAGCAATTAAATACCGTCAATAGCAACTGATGCTTGGGCCTTGTATAAGGGAACATCACTCACCGACTCTGCAGCATTGTTTCGAATGACTGTGCGTAAAAAAACGGGCATCCAACACTGGTGATACTAATAGGAGGCCCATATTGGCTTCACTGGTTATGTCTTGAGAAGTGGCAGGGTTACAAGGGAACTGGACTGAAATAAACCAAGCTTCTCCAGGAGTTTCATGATTAGGTTACCTACTGCAAAGGAAACAGTCGAGACTCCAAACCCTATCATAACATAGCATACTACTTGATGGGACATTTCCAAATACTGCAAGATGAAGACACGTGTCCTCGGCATCAATAAATTCTTGTTATTATAATCACGACACGTACTCGTCGGATCACAAGTCCTTGTTCCCTCGAGGTACTGTTCATAGGGATCAATGACACCCAGTACGTTACGTACCGACACGTATTCCTCGGTCGGATATGGGTACATCGGTCCCTATATGTACCACTCCCCTCGGTACCGAGATGTACCTGTCCAGGATGGTGTTCTCTACTCCTGCAGAGGCTATTGATGTATAGGTCACTAGCCTAAACTAGGCTAGGTTAGCCATCATGACCTTGTTTTACACAATTAGTGTCAGAAGACACAAGAAAACAGAAGACATAGCCAATGGGGAATGGGCGCGTGGCATATTGTGTCATATCAGAAACAAAAAGACCGGATGCCCTTGCTGACACACTACTTGGGAAAGCAAGCATTTAATTACACCATTCCCTTGATGAGACAGCATTTAATGTGGTAAGGCTCGGAAGTGAAAGGTAATAAATGTCCCTAAGACTGGGCATTTTATTACATCCTTACCGAGAGGAGCTCATTAAACATTCGATAGGCCGATGAAGTAGCATTGGTTGCTCGGGATCCCGAGCAGTTAAAAGAGAAGACATTCCTCATAGGAATCAATGCGCACGTTGCTCGTATCTAATGATCACCTACTGACCACACAGACAGCAATCATGAGTTTTTGAGGTATAAATACTCCTCACAAAATGCAAGACGTTATGCAACGAAAAACCTTTGTTCAAACCTATACTCCGTGTTTTCTTCTTCCCCTCTCTCAAAAACTGACTTGATCGTCGGAGAGGATACGCCAGAAAACACTCTGGCGCCCTTCTAACTTGTGTTTCTCTGTTCCAGGAACCTCCCTCAGCCTTGCTGGACCGCTCCGTTGATCCACGAAGGTCTTCCATTACCGTTCCAAACTACCACCGGACCTCACAGTCTGTTCCAAGCAGTAGGGTTGACCATTCGACTGACTCACTCGAATTCACCAAGGGAGAGATCTGTTCTCGTGTTTATATTGTGCAAAATTCTGCACGCACACTACTGTTGTTATATAAGACTTGGGAGGCCTCTGAACATAAGCCTTTTCAATGCTAAGTAGGATGACACATAGAAGTGAAGCCGCTGCTACTGCACAAGCTTGAGATCTCTATCATCACTCCTCCGAAATGAGAAGCCATAGATGACTGGAGGAAGTAGGCCAACAACGGGGAATGATAACACGGCAACAGCTGCATAAAATAAGAAATTTTGTCTTCGTCCCAGTAGTTCCTGGTGTCGATCAACTCGCTTTGTTTCTTGATTGGAGGCCCCTCCAGATTGATATTTTTTCAGTTCCCAAAGCTGTAAGCTAACATGTTAGTTTAAGATGCACATAACTTTGAGTAAATGCAAAAGAAACATGTTCTATAAGGCATATTCCACATCCTTCCCATATGTATCACTGTTATGGTCCTGAGTTGGATTAGTTTGAATATCAGTGTCCTTCGAAAGTTCTCATGCATTGATTTTTCACGTATGTCAATGAATACAATTCTAGTTGACAGATACAACATTCAAAATCAACTCTATTCAATAATAGTAGCTTTCCAGGAGAAACAAGAGCAAAAGAAGGCCAGAAAGAATGAAAGAAAACATCACTAGTTAGTTGTTTTTCTGTCATTTTAGACATTCTGCAAGTGACTTTTTTTTGGGGAATATAGCGTTGTTGGAAGGAAGGAAGACTGAATTAGCACAAAATCATCATAGAATTCAAAATATTACATTTCCACATACTACTTTTATTTTCCTTAATGGAGAGTGATAAGGATGAAACCTTGGTTATAAGTGCGTCAGTTAACTAGTTCATGATACAAACAAACTAGAAACAATTCCAATTGGAGGTGACCATGCCAGCACACTCTCCAGATACTTGGTTCCAAATAAAGTCCCTGTTGTAACAGGGTGTATTGTTAGTTCTAAACCATCCAAGTTGGTGGCCTCCACTCATTTGCTTAAGCCAAAAATCTTAAAATTTCCGTGGTTGTGACGACTCCTATGCCATGAATTCTTTTTTATTCATCAGAGTTTTGAATTACATAAAGTTGATGATACAAAATAAATTTGTGTTACGTGAGTTCTACAGGCACAATAACATGATTCAGCATCTAATCAACACATGAATTGGTACCAACCAATAAAGCACGATGATCTGAACAAAACGAATCTTTTATACACATATTTCTAAAATTTGAAAGGTTTTCAGATAGGGATATTTTTGGGAGTCATACACTTGTTGCCAACAAGCACCAGTTTTGCAGTACAGAACATATGTTGATTACCGAAAGGAGTTGAAGTGGAAATTTACTCACATCGTGACCCATGACAAAAAAGTCCTCCAATCAGATTTGCTAATCCCAAAGCTAAAATATTCACTGCAATACCATACAAACACAATCAATAGCCAATATATGCACAAACTTATGGGACTCGAAATAAATTGGTAGTTGATAAAACAGTATTAAGTTAAACAAAGTTGTAACACAAAAAATGCAGGAAGAAGAAGAATAATCCGCTACAAAGTTGTAACACAAAAAATCTGCTACAACGTTGGATCATAACACAATAGAATTATAAAAAGTTGCCCACCCAGTGTTGCTGCTTAGTCTATTTTCCTGCAATGCCAATAATAATAATAATAATAATTAGAAAGAGTAGTAGAGGAAGTGAAAAAATAAAAAATAAAAATAAAATCAAACCTTAGCAGTAAGACTGGATACATAAAGCAATAATTTTTTTTTTTTAAAAAATTAATGCAAAAGTCGAGACGAAAATAGTGGGAGAAGAACTTACTCAATCTTAGGACGAACTGGAACATGTTTTGATTTGAAGCAAGGCTTCAACACTGAAAAGCGCTTAGAAAGAAAACAAAACAAAACAAAGTCGGAGAAGAAGGAGATGAGATAAGTTATAAAAAACAAATAACAAAACTAATATGAAATAAGCCGTCAAAAGAAAACAAATATTCTTCTATCGAGTTATCACTGAAAATAACATGAAAAACGAGGACTCTGTGTGTGTAAAGAGAATTCTCACTCACCATGGCAAAAAATGCAGGAAGGACAGGAAAAATGGTTATAATTGTCACCACAAAAATGCCGTTGAGGGAGAGAATAAACGCAGCGAGGATTGATTGAAGCATCACCCACAATTAAAAAACAAAATTTTTGAGCCATTAGTGGGCTATGTTTATGAGTTTACATTTCTATTTTGTTAGTCGTATAAATGTTTAACTTAGTCCAGAATAAACAAAAATTCTGACTCCGCCCTTGATTAACTTGACGGTGAGTGTTCTATTCATTCTCTTGTGTTTAGGATGAGGGAAAGTTTAGAGGTGTTTTGTATGAAGTTAAACTCTCTTTTGGAGTGTTCCAATTCAATGGTGTTTGCCTCCCTTCCAATTTCAAGTGCAGTCCACCTCACACATACATATTTATTAAAGGATAAAAAAAGGTTAATACTTCGATAAAAAAGTTTAATAAGTATCTCTCTTCCAAAAAAATACCATTTTTTAAACTTAATTTTGTTTTCATTTAAACACAAAAATACCAACTAATTAAATTGTTCATTCTCATAGATGATCCACAATAAAAACTAGTTAATATAAAAAAAATTCAATAATGTTTAATGTATATTAGATGCGTAAATTACTAAAAAATAAAAATTATGTGACACCACTTTGTAATATTGAATATCTTTATTGTAATAGTACTTTATAACGGTCAATGAAAAAATGCATAAAATATAAAATAATATATTACTTTTAATCCTTTCGCATCATCCAATAATTAATTTGTCTCATTTAATCGGTTCCATGGACGAAAACTTGACAGTGAGAGACGAGCAAAGACTACAATTTTTGTGAGATGCACATATATTTAAAAAGAGGAGGCACAACAAGGCCAGCCCTAGGGCCCGACCATTAAAATAATCAGCAAGAGCCTAAAAAATTTAGAGATGCAATTTAGGTAGCGTTTGGTAAACGTTTGTTTTCGTTTTTTTCTTGTTTTTGTTTTTATTTTATGACCAAAAAGAAAAATAAAAACACGTTTGGTGAATGTTTTTTTTTAACACCTCCGTTTTTAAAACAAGGCTAAAATATGAAAACATCCAAAAACAAAACACGCGCAAAGAATTAATGAGGTTTGGGTTTCGATCCTCCATAGCAACAAAAATCATTCTTTTTTTTGCTTAGGTATAAAAGGCCCGTCTCTTTCACACTATCTGAAGCCGAAGCCATCGCTGTCCTCTCTCTCTCTCGATACCATCGCTGGAGTCGAAGGTGGGGGTTGGGGGTGGGTTGGGGGTTTCGATGGTTAGGGTTGGGGGTTTCGATGGTGGGGGTGGGTTTTCAGTGGTTGTGGTGGTGGGTTCATGATCTCAATCGAAGCTTATCACCTTTGGCATTGACTGGACTCCGCTATGGAATATGAATTTGGATTTCGGTGGTTGTGGTTGTGGTTGTGGTTGTGGTGACTCTGCCACAGTGGTGGGGTTTCGGTGGTGGTTTGGGGTGGTGGTGGGTGGTCAGTGGTGTTGGGTGGTGGTTTTGAGTGGTCAGTGGGGGTTGGGGTGGGTTTCGATGGGTGGGGTTGAGTGATGGTTTTAGGTGGTCAGTGGTGGTTGGGTGGTAAATTTTTTGTATAATACCAAACAGATTTTTTATTTTTGTTTTCACAATTTTTTAAATATAAAATGACTATCAAACATGTATTATATTTTTAGTTTTTATCACCAAAAAAACAAAACTTAGTTTTGTTTTTTTTATAACAAAAAAACATAAAAACGAAAACGTTACCCTTAATTTTCAACATTTTGTTTAGTTTCAAATTCTGAGGCCCTTTTGAAAGAACTAAGTTAAATATCAAATATATTTCACAAGTCTATCTAAAACGTTATAGAAAACTCTAAAATATAACAAAGTCTTCTAAAAAAATTTAAAATTAATGATTTCTAACTTTAAAAGTAACAATCTCTCTCAAATTCTTTTCATTAATTTTTCCTCCACTCTCACCAGTTCTCTCCAACTCTTTTTCTCCCTTCCAGTCTTATTATCTTGCTCTGATTTTTTGTCCGTATCTTTAACTATATTGTTATTTCTTTCAATCTATTCATCTATAAGATCTTCACTTCAAAATTATACCCAATTTTTTGTTTGATCCTGCTCGATCCCAAAACCACTAAAACTTTAAAAATAAATCATACCGTAAATTTCTGTAAAATATTTTCTCGTTTTAGTCCCCAATTTGTGTTGAACCACCCTTGTCCCCTCTTGTTCTTTTTGTTTTCTTATGTATCCCTAATCCCCTCTTGTTCTTTTTGTCCCTTCTTGTTCTTTTTGTTTTCTTATGTATCCCTAATCCCTATTGTTATTCAGTATGAAACAAAACATTGTTACCCCTATCAGAAGCCTTTAACAAAAACCAGACAAAGCCAATTTGACATAAACACAAGTATCATACCCAAACTTACCCGACCCAAATCCAAACCCATGTTATATCTCCCCAGATTCTTCTTCAACCTCTCTCTCTAACCCACAACTACGGCTGCCACCATCCTCTACAAATATTTCTCTCTTTCCCTTAACAACTCACCCTATGTCCACTCATCTGTAACCCACCATCGCCCATCGTGTTCCTCTCACGCTCATGCACAAAGCCAACCCATACAAACATGAACATCCCAACCCTCCTTCTCTCTTGGCTTTGCTTATCGATTTGTGATGGTGTTGATTTGGTGGGTGAGTGTGGTAGTGGTGTTCTTGGATGACATTGCTTATGCAAGAGGGAATGTGTTTAGTGAGTGGATTGGATGCCATGGGAGTAACAGGTAGGAGAGGTTTAGTGGGTTTGTTAAGGGCAGTTAGTTGGGATTTTTGGATTGACGGTGGCAATGGTCGATGGAAATTTGACTTTTGGAAGACATAGATGGGAATTGGAGCATGTGAGGAGTCGAAAGGAGTTAATATGGGGCGAGAGAGAGGTTAACGGACAGAAGGGGAACAAATAAAATTTGCCTTTAATTTTAATTTGATTCCTGAATTTTAAATTATCTCAATTTAGTCTCTAAGTTATTAATTTTATCTCAATTAAATTCTTTAGTTTATTTCCACTATTAGATTAATGCTAAAATGAATTAAATTAGGTTAGTCTCAAGTAAATCTAATGATAAAAATTAATAAAAAAATATTAATTAAAATAAAATTGATAATTGTGAGTAAGAACATCTCCAAGGACCTCAATAAAATGCCGTTTTTAACTATTTTACAGAGACGGTCCTTAAATCTGGTTTCCAACAGACTAGTT